GTGGTCTTTTTCTATAAGAAAACCAATAACAGAACCAGTAAGGAAACTAGTAAAGTCGGACGGGGCCGACTATAACGGTCATATACAGGGATGGTCTGTGTGACGATTTTGTAGGTTTTCGACTGTCAAAAAGGTGTAAACGTCGAAAACGTCATATACCTGTATAAAATGTAATAAATGTAGTAAACGTCATTTATTTCAATATTATTACCATATACTGTTATTTTCAAGAATATATATTATTTTTACATATATCTGACTATTCTTTACTAGAACTGATAAAAAATTCTAAACTTTTTGGAGAAGAAAATTTCAAAATTCGATATGGATTTGAGTAAAGCATACGTAATTTCCAAATTGGTTAATGGAAACAGCTATTTTGTCAAAAACCTAATGGTTTTGGGTGGTTTTCCGACGTTTCTGACGTATGTATTATACGTCGGAAATGTGTGTCATTTACGTCACTATTTCTGACGGTCCATCTCTGTTCATATAACGGTTAACCCTGACCCATTTCGATACGTTGCACATAATGTTGTGCAAATTGGACACACTTTAAATCTTTGGTGCATCATTTGCGAAACCTCGGACGATTTCAATAAAAGTTGGTACACGTTAGTCTATCCTAACTTCGGTAAGTACAACTTAACACACGTTAGACTATCTTAAATTCAGTACGTTGTACAAAATGTCGTGTCGTATAAGAAATCAGCTTCATATTCTATAAAAATACATTTTGGTCTTCTATAAAAATACCTCATGGTATTTTTCTATAAGAAAATCTAGAACAAACGTAGTCTTCCAATAAGTTTTTATAGAGGGATTAATCGGTCCAATGGTCAACTAAAAAACGAATACCTATTGAAGTCCAATAGGTAATTTATTAGTTAGCCATTAGATTATCTAGTGATTCAATAATAAGTCTAATGGATCTTTAATAAATATAACAAGAAATTATAATGCATTCCACCCATTCTAATATCACCTTCCTTCGCCGCATATATTATTACCTTGATTTCCACATCTGAGTCTCACATTGATTCCAGGCATTCATTCTGTAAAATTTAGAATAGACATAGCCAACTACGTTTTCTGTTATAAAACCATTTATTACAAAAGACACATGACAATTTTATTTTTAAATAAAACAAAAACTTAGGAACCAAGTATAACGAAAAAAAAAAACAATAAAAACAAATAAGTCTATATGAATATACTTAGGGTACAATAATTTAGCATTCATACATTGAGATTTCTTTAAAGAGCAGCACTTGGGTCATGATCATACAATAAGGAAAATAACTAAGGACCATGTTCGCTTTAAAAATATTGCACAATATTTTTTTGGAAATATTTAGCAATTAAAAAATTATTATAATAATTTTAATTGGTCAGTTTTTAAGACAAATGAGATTTCCAGACAAATAATTCAATAGCACTTGGGTCATGATTTACAATAAGGACGCTTTTTTCAAATATTTACCAATTAATAAAAAATAATTATAATTATTTTAATTGTTTAGTTTTTGAAACAATTTTGAAAAAGAAAATGAAAATAAACGTATACACTTTCACATAAATATTTGAAGTTTACTTATAACTAGCCACAATATTTTATATATCTATATAGGTATTTATATTCAATCGAATACGTTTATATTAAAGGAGTCATAAGGTCACAAGGAACAAATTTTTGAGTTATTTTTTAATGGATTTGAAAGTAGTTGATTTTTTCCATTAGCCAAAATTTTAAAAATACATTAGAACAACAGCACTGGATATAGTAGATCTGACTATTTCAATATAGTCACAATAGTGATTCCCTAAATAAACGTATTCGATTGTTATTAATTGTATGTTTGTCGCACTTCTAAAAGGAAAATAGTTTTACAAATATATATATATATATATATATTTATCCATGTAGATGAAATATATATTTACAAATATCACACATTTAAAATAATAGCACTTTATGAATAAATATTATGAAATATTATTATTATTATGGTGGAACTATTTGTATAAGGTTCAATTTTTATATTTTTGTCTAACTAAAATATAAAGGAGAGAGAGCACGATCAATTGTCATAAATATATTACCACTAAATGTAGGTATGTATGTGTATGTATGTTTATATATGTTTGACTAAATACTCTGAGATTCTATATTCTCAGTTTGAGAGACCTATAAAAATACATATTTATAGATTAAGGAAAATAGATGTTGGATTTAATTTTTTAACTAATTTACTGTCAGAATCAGTAGTCGTTTTTGGAAAAAAATATCAATCTATAGCCAAGTTGCCAATCTCCTACTAGGCTCGTCTTCCCGCTATCCGCGATAGTCTAGAGGAGCAGAGTAGGGAAATCTTCGACCTTGTACCGGAAGAGCAAAGTGGGGATACGCTTCCGGCTGATGATGATCTGGACACTACGGTGATTCCGGCCAAGTCTACACAGGGGGATTGTTGTAGATTAAACAAAAGAAGCGTAGACCTTATTGACGGACGGACTTCAAGTCTGACTCCGAGAAGTCCGGTGGCGGCTTTTGCCGACAATAAACTTCGAAGGCAAACTGCGACGGAGGCGATGTGGAATCTATCGAGAACCCAGCAACGAACAGCGGCTCAAAGGTCGGATATGCCCGAGAAGTATCCGATGCGAAGCACTACAAACGTACCGTATCGTATCTTCGCAAATTCGTGGAGCGATACGCGAATTTGCTTTCGGAGAGGAAGGTTCATATCATCAAGGGCAAGAATTTACCCGCACCCTCTCGAATCTAACTGCTCGACCAAAAATCTCCAAGGAGACCTATAAATTGAGTAAAGTAGTGGAATCGGGGAAGTCCACTGTTTTTGACAAGCGTGCGAAGCTGACTTCTGACCCGACACCTAACCTGAGTTAAAAGGCAAAGGAAAAGGCTACTGTGCCCATCCCGACACAAACTGTCATCCATAAGTGTGATCAAAGTGTGGAGGGCTCTATCTCAAAGCCTGATTCTACGACAAGCGACAAAGGTGAAGTGGTTGGTGCTAAAACTTTGAGTGTATCCACCAGTGGTCGGAATAAGAAATAGGGCAAGTCTGGCAAGGAACCATCGTCACTTGGGAGAGCAAGTGCTGCCCCGCAGAACAAATCTGTGAAGCGCATTCACTCATCAGAAGTTCCGCAACCTTCACCCAAGAAAACAATGACTTCGCGTTCGACTGACCCATCTACCTCATATGCGGCTGTCGCTGGGCAACAAACGGCAGAGAAAAAGCCTAGTGCAGAGAAGGCATCAACCTCCTCTGGAAAAGCTCACTCCAACGTTCGTGGTCAAAGACAAAGGAAGCCCCATGAAAGACCGACCACGGTAGCTGCTGACGAAGACCTTTAAGTGACAATCATTGACAAATCTGATCCTTATGGTTGGATGTGACAGCCATTCGGTTAGCTACCAGAAGGGTGCCAAATTCATAAACTGCTTGAACAGAAAATCGAGAGATTTCCTCGTGTGAACTGTCGACGGGTTTGGTGGCACTCTGGAAAGGAGCCAACCTTGCTGCCCCTCTCAGCCTGTCCACATTCAGTGGACAAGGAACTCCTGCTGAAAAGGTTGGCGCTGCAAAATCCTAACCCCACTACATCGAGTTGGAGGGATGGTCGCAAGGGCAGCAGTTGACCCACCGGGGGAGGCCTATCTCAGAGAGCGTGAGGGAAAATTGAACATCGGGTTTTTTGGAAAAGATTCCGTTCCAGATTATATCATGAAGAGGCCGACACCATTGGCCACCGGGAACCTGTGATTTAACACCATGTGACTATCTCAGTTGGCACCCCTTGAAAGATAAAGTATACGGTAACAGAATAGCGACGACTCAAGACCTGAAATATAGAGTCTATCGTGGACATGAAAATGCTAGTGTTCCGTAAGCGAGTTCTAGGTGACCACTCTTTTTTTTAATCCCACCTGAAGGTGTGCTTCGAAGTATATCAGGGCTATAAAGTCATCATGGCGTCTACATAGACATTTTGTCATCTATCAATATTTCTTACCTCAGCTAGTCTACATTAGAAGATTGGGATTTTGACTTGGGAGATTTTGGCGTTTCCAGCTTCGACTCTTCTATAAAGACACTTCAACTTGTTTATAATGAATCCCTTAAGTTAAACATCCCAGTTTCTCAGTCTTGTCTATTAAATACGCCTACATATTAAAAATCCTCTTAATTTGTCAAAATAGACAGTCTTTGTGCTGAAAAGAATTCAGCTCATCCTTAAAACCTCCCTGAGTTTCTGTTTGTCTACAAAGACTCCCTTCAGTTCTTCTCTAAAGACTCCCTTCAGCTCGTCTATTAAGATTACCTTCAGCTCGTCATTTAAAACTCGTTTCAGCTCGTGTTTTAGGACTCCCTTCAGTTGGACTAAAAATACTCACTCCAGCCACCTTCTGATCATCTATATAGAATCGTCTTGAAGGGCTCCCTTCAGTCTCCCTTCGGTTCGTCTGCAAAAACTAGTTCGCTCTTCATCTACAAAAAAACCCTCTGGCCTTAAGTGAAATTAATATAATTTTTATATTCCCTTACATCCCGGGGCCATGGAACACATCTTTCATATTTTTTTGGTCCGATTTTATTCTATTACAATAACATGGTCCGAATTTTAACTATTTAACAAAAAAAAAAAAATAAAATAAAACTATTCACATAAACCGAATATTAAACAACATAAGCACATTGAAATAAAATCCTAACTAAAGACTAAACCATGAATAACATGGAAGAATTGGTGTAGAGCTCTAAAACATCGCAAAGGTGAATGGTGGAAGGAACATTTTGTTTTTTTTCATTTTTTTTTCAATTTTAGAGCTCTCTTACAAATCAGACTTAACATACTTTGTTTGTGTATGTGTGTTTAATAAATAGTGGTTGTATCTTTTTTCTTTCAGGTCTAGTTAAGTCTTTTTTGTAGTTTGTGCATTTTTTTCTTAACTCTATTTCTTGATCTCACTAAACTTCACTACCCCTAATACCGGTCTCGGTACTACTACCATGTATTATTAAATCCATTTGTGACTGAGACAAATCACTGCACAGCAGTTGTTCAATGCGTATAAAACGATCATTTGGATCGGGAGTATTCGATTCGGAATCGGGCAAGCGTAACGATTGACTACCTTTGGCACGTTCTAAATATGGAAATGAAAAATGATTAATACAATTTAGCAATAACAAATATAACAGCTGAAAGGTGACAACTTGTCACTTGTATGACTTACCGGTTCTGGCTCGACGAGTCTCCTGTTCAATAATAATTTCATTTGTTATATAAGCTTCACGTCGTATTTGATCCCGCAAACCAACGCTCATGTCGGGTATACACCAACGTACAATAATCATAACTAAGGCAACGAAATTCTGTAATGGAGAGAAAAGAAAGAAAACCACTTTTTATTAAATTTACCATTTTAAAAAAATGTATAATAATACGTTAGAATTTCAATGTTATTGCAGATTTTGAGTTATTTGAAAGAGCTCAGCAAACCTACATCACCTTACGTAGAACAACATTACATAACTAAAGAGCATTTTACATTTTCTTTCGAACTGAAACCATACAAGTTTTCAATGTGGAGAAGGTATGCGAATTTGGCAGATATGAAGTAAGTGAATAAAATGCCGAGAACAAAAAGCAGAAGGGAGTATTTTTAGACGAGTCGAGGAGAGTCTTTATAGACGTGCTGAAGGGAGTTTTTATAGACGAGCTGAAGGGAGTCTTTATAGACGAGCAGAAGGGAGTCTTCATAGACGAGCTGAAGGGTGTCTTTATAGACGAGCTGAAGGGAGTCTTTATAGACGAGCTGAAGGGAGTCTTTATAGACGAGCTGAAGGGAGTCTTTATAGACGAGCTGAAGGGAGTCTTTATAGACGAGCTGAAGGGAGTCTTTATAGACGAGCTGAAGGGAGTCTTTATAGACGAGCTGAAGGGAGTCTTTATAGACGAGCTGAAGGGAGTCTTTATAGACGAGCTGAAGGGAGTCTTTCATAGACGAGCTGAAGGGAGTCTTTCATAGACGAGCTGAAGGGAGTCTTTATAGACGACCTGAAGGGTGTCTTTATAGACGAGCTGAAGGGAGTCTTTATAGACGAACAGCCGAACTGAAACGCGGGGAAGTCTTTATAGATGAACAGTCGAACTGAAACGCGGGGAAGTCTTTATAGATGAGGTGAAGACCAGGGAGTCTTTATATTTATGGATGTACTGAAAGATCTGGAAGTCTTTATAGACGAACGGTATCTTTACAGACGGACCAAATAGTCAGATAGTCTTTATAGACGAGATTAAGGCCAGGATGTCTTTAGAGACGAACTGAAGACCAATGACTCTCTACATATTAACTGAAGGCCCAGGGAGTTTTTATAGACGATCTGAAAGGTAAGAATGTTTGTATAGAGGGAGTTTTAAAAGTCAGGGAAGCGTCATTAACGAGCTGAAGACCAGTAGGCCTATTCTGTAACTATTTAACAAGTTTCGACATTGTTTATTTTGCAACAATGTCATTTGTTTGTTTTGTTGTTTTTACAATAACAAAAGAAAATTAAACAATATCGAATGCTATTAAAAGTTACAGAATAGGCCTACAGGCAGTCTTTACAGAGAAGTCTATATTTATGAACTGGAGCCCAATGATTCTAAAGAGAGACGTGAGTCTAAAATACAAGCGGAATGTCTGGCGAGACTACGAGTTCAAGCTTAAGCGATATTGTGAATATATAACGCTGCAGGACCGATGAGACTATATATGTAGAATAAGACTCAAGATACATATACGAACTAAAGGGCCAAGGGTTTACATGTACGAATTGAAGGTCCAGTGTACCGGAAAAAATTGGGCTTCCAGCGGTTTCAAATAAGAGATTTTATTTTGGTAGTCAACAACAAGCTCACTGGACCATATGAAATTATCGAAACCAAATCGAAAAGTGTCTGATCTATGCCTTCGATATGATTCCCACAATTGAGGTCTCGAATCGACTCTGGCTGGTGGCGTAGACCTTACACATTACCTTACCCCAAAAGAAAGAAGTAGGAAGATGTTCGATGAAAAGATCTCGCTGGCATTCAATCAATAGATTTGTCGATTGGTTCCACATTTCATTTTTATGCACTTCAAGGCCTTGGACTTACCGAAAATTTGTATGGGCGCTATCAAGAAGCATGGACTTATATTGAAAATGTTCTGTGAAGAAATATTTCGGTTGGGAAAATTGTCCTAGGACTATCAAAATGCTTATAAATGGACTGTGGGGTGGTTGGGGGCTACACACAAATATGAACCCATATTTATAGTTTTTGGTAGGAAGATTTCCACGCAATTAGAAACTCGGTTGAAAAATGTACCAAAAATAGCACCGTTATATGCGTGCTACCCCAAAACTTGAACAAGAATTGATTATTTTTGGAATTTTCTACTCAATGAGAATCCAAAATATAAAATTACAGACAATTTCGACGACATTTGGGAGGTACCGATAGAAGGAGCCTACACTAAATGGTGGGTGAATAATGATAATTTTTGGCAATCCGGTTGAAAAACGTTCCAAAAAAACCTGCAAATTCGCTCCACCTTATGATGGAGGATATTAAAATACTATAAAAATATATCCAATTCCTAGACCCATGTTGATCCTGTACAAAGTTTTCAATATTCCAAACACTTAAACGCATTTTTTAAATATTGTGGAATTTTTAACACCATACGTGTCAGAAGCCATATTTTCCTATCACAATGTCATCTCATGCAAAACCTAATCTAATATTCTCGCACTATACCCCGAAGATCTGCTGCGAACATCTTTTCGTCTTGTACATACTTTCGATTTACATTTTCCATTCGTTGTTGGTTCACTCTTCTAGAGACCTCAATCTCCAAATGGCCTCCGGAGGATTAAGGTTACAATGAAAGCCCAACAAAATGCGGTCAATTAAATTTCGAAGCCGGGGCAGCGCTGAGTCCATGGACAGAATGGGAATATGAGTGGACGAGAAAAAAATAATGTGAAATGTAAATCCCAAATGAAGGCAAAAAAAGGAAAACGACAACACTTGGTTTGCTCTCTTTTTCTCTCTTCTCTCCTTTTTAGTGAAATTTTTTATGTCAGAGATCAATGAACCAAACATTGAATGTATGACCAGCCGGCCGGTTGGCCCAATGGACTGTAGCATAGGAAAATAAAACCTAAAGGTCTTATTGCAATTTAATGCTGCAACTGCTACTACTGCCGATGTTTTGTATGACAGCCAACATTCATCCACACGAAGGTCTAAATATTTACACTGCACTAAACGCCACTCGCACCACACTTCATTAGTCCCTCCCAACAAAAACAAAAAGTGTAAGGCAAAATGTCATTTGGCCAAAGTTTTAGAATAGCCTAGGCCAATCAGCCAGCCAGCCGTCACACACAAGAATATACCCAAACACCAATCAATGAATATGATTTTAGTAGCTCTAAGAACGTCATCGGAAAAACATCCTCAATAGAAATACGACGGGCAGGAAAAAACCAGAACAAGAAAAAAATAAATAAATAACAAAAACCTTTTACAAAAAATTCCAAAAATTCTTCTATTGTTTTTGTAATATCAACACAAAAAAAAAGTTATTACAACAAAATGAAACGTTTCTCATGTTGTTTTAATCTTCGCACGATCGGTTTCAGTATAGCCTCCTTAGATATACTCGTTTCACTGACCATATTGGGTCTATGCAGTTATTATCTGTACACAGACTATTTCAATTTGACCAATTGGGGTATCTCCTCGCATGATAATGTCAAAATTGTGGATCCATTGAGTAATTTGATGTCATCTGTTGGTGAGTATTAAAAATCTATTTTAATTGAATTGGGACGGAATTTGGCGGAGTATTAAAATATTATGTTTTATTTTGTATTTCATATATTCTTTTTAGTCAATTATGTTCTGCTGCATAATTTCCCAGATGCTTTCTATGTTGTTATGGCCATTGTTTTATGGATAAAATCATTGATAAACTTTATACTGGCTATTTTATTGATTGATGGTATTAGAAAGGTAAGTTGGAATTATATTAGAGAATTCTATAAGTATTTTGATAGAAGATACCAGATTCGAAGTAGACATATATAAAGAGGTCAATACTAAATAAGTGACAACTGAAAACAGTCTACGTTTTATCGGATCAAAGTTTTGAAACTGAAAATTAATCTTCGTCGGTGTAGTTGCATAAGGTCCAGAAAGTATGCAAGTATTTTGAAAGGATATTTAATATCTTCTAAAAGTTCGAAATGTGAAATATTCTAATGTGACATATATACTATATATTTCTCGTCATATGAACCCCAAAATTATTTGGGATTTTAATTCAATATTCCATATAAAATCATCAAAATTCAGATTTTATAATAATTTATTTTTTTTAATAATAAGTAAATTTCCATGATGTTCTGTAGGGGCCTCCAACATCAGATGGACATTCAAAAATTTTAAAATCGATTGGGTATGCTATGACATGGCAAAATGCTGCTTAATTGATAAAAATGTTGACATAATTTATAATCCGAGAACCTGAAATTTCAAATTCCATAAAACACGACTATATGATACCCTTCGCCACTTTGAGTATATTCTATAATACATATCGACGCCTCCGAACCATAGTATGCTAAGTCGACTTAGCATGTTTTAAAGTTCTTTACGTTTTTAGATACTACGGTCCTTAATTTAAATTCACTGAAATTTTGGTAATCATCGGCCTATCCAAACCAAAGTTAAATGCAAAAATGTACTTAGCATGGCACGTAAGATTTAAGAAACTTCCATACTTTGAGAGCTTCTGCTGAAAAACTTACTTTTCAGACTTAGCATACTATACTTCGGAGGCGTCGATATGTATCCTAACAGACGTCGCCTTTTCGAAGGAACATTGACATGACATTGAACAAACAAAACCAGTAAGGAAAGTAGTAAAGTCGGACGGGGCCGACTATATGATACCCTTCACCACTGTGGGTATATTAAACAGATGAATCCTAACAGACGTCGCATTATTGAAGAACCATTAACATGAAATTAAACATGTCATTCTGCAACCTATACTAAATTTTGGTCAGGTATAGAGTTGCTTCTTACGATGGGATAAAATAATGTAAATAAATTTAAAGCGAATATAGGTTACACTTATTTCAGTATGGTTTTTGCATTCGGCCACATTTTGAGTTCTTTATTTACTTATAAATCCAAATTTACTTATAAATCCAAAATCGGACGAAAATATATATGGGAGCTATATCTAAATCTGAACCGATTTTCACGAAATTTAACACACATCGTTCTAGACTTAATTCCGTACGCTATGCCAAATTTCGTGCAAATCTAACGATATATAGGGACTTTGGTGCAATATTTACCTAAAATCGGACGAAAATATGTATGGGAGCTATATCTAAACCTGAACCGATTTTCAGGAAATTTAACACACATCATTCTGGACCTAATTCAGTACGTTATGCCAAATTTCGTGCAAATCGAAAGATATATAGCGACTTTGGTGCACCATTTACATGAAATTGGACGAAACTATATATGGGAACTATATCTAAATCTGGACCGATTTTCTCGAAACTTGGCAGACATCACTCTAGGCTTAATTCAGTACGTTATGCCAAATTTCGTGCAAATCGAAAGATATATTGGGACTTTGGGGCACCATTTACATGAAATCGGACGAAACTATATATGGGAGCTATATAGAAATCTGGACCGATTTTCTCGAAACTTGGCAGACATCTCTCTAGGCTTAATTCAGTACGTTATGCCAAATTTCGTGCAAATCGAAAGATATATAGGGACTTTGGTGCACCATTTACATGAAATCGGACGAAGCTATATATGGAAGCTATATCTAAATCTGGACCGATTTTCACGAAACTTGGCAGACATAATTCTAGACCTAAATGATTAGGCTGTACTAAATTTCGTGCAAATCGAAAGATATATAGGGACTGTTTACATTAAATCGGTTAAATATATATATGGGAGCTATATCTAAATCTGAACCGATTTTTCCCAATTTCAATAGGGTTCGTCCTTGGGCCGAATAAGTGACCTATGCCAAATTTCATCCAATTCGGATCATAAATGCGACCTGTACTTTGTTTACAATTTAACATGCACAGACAGACAGACGGACGGACATGCATAAATCGACTTAGAAAGTGATTCTATGCATATTCTCAAAAGGAACCATGTGTCTATCTCGTTTCCTTTTGCCTGTTACAAACATATGCACAAAGACATAATACCCTGTACCACAGTGTGGTGAAGGCTATAAAAATGTGATCTTTAATTATATGTAAACAGACTAACATCAATCCCTACACATGACATTCTGCAACCTATGCTAACTTTTTTTAACATGAATGGGTCGAAATTATATATGGAAGCTATGCTATATCTAAATCTGAACCGATTTCAAGGATACCTGCCCGGGATTAATTTATATTTATTTCAGTACGTTGTATCAATCGGCCTAGTTGTGGGTCTTTAGTGCACCATTTACTTAAAATCGGACGAAAATATATATGGGAGCTATATCTAAATCTGAACCGATTTTCACGAAACTTAACACAGTACGCTATGCCAAATTTCGTGCAAATCGGAAGATATATAGATACTTTACCTTAAATCGGACGAAAATATATATGGGAACTATATCTGAATCTGAACCGATTTTCACAAAACTTGACACACTCCATTCTAGACTTAATTCAATACGCTGTGCGAAATTTCGTGCAAATCGAAAGATATATAGGGTCTTTGGTGCACCATTTACATTAAATCGGACGAAAATATATATGGGAGATATATCTAAATCTGGACCGATTTTTCCCAATTTCAACAGCGTTCGTCCTTGGACCAAATAAATGATCTGTGCAAAATTTTCATCCAAATCGAATGATAAATGCGACCTGTACTTTGTTTACAATTTAACATCAACAGACGGACAGGCGGACGCAGGGACATGCATAAATAGATTCAGAAAGTGATTCTATGCATATTCTCAAAAGGAACCATGTATCTATCTCCCTGTACCACAGTGTGGTGAAGGGTCGTAGGTTTAAACAAGTGAAAAATCGTTAAGTTTGGCCGGCCCGAACTTTGGATACCCTCCACCATAGTTACACTGACAGATACATGCAATGAAAATATAGGGAACATACCAAAAATACCGATAATTCTACAAACCGTTTTATGTAAACCATTATGTACACCAAAACCCCCCCCAAAAACTAGAAATTGGGAGGTACCCTTATATGGGGGCTACCAGAAATTGTGGACCTATATTTATAATTTTTAGTGGGGAAATTTGGTACCCAATAAGAACCCAATGTACCAAATTTCAGCGAATTCGGTTGAAAACCGCGCTCAAGAACCCTAAAATACCGGAAATTGGGGGGTACCCTTATATGGGGGTTACCCTTATATGGGGGTTACCCGAAAAAATTGACCTATATTTATAATTTTTAGTATAGAGATTTGCTACCCAATAAGAACTTAAAGTACAAAATTTCAGCGAATTAGGTCGAAAAATGCGATCAAACCCCCATAATACCGCAAAATTGGGTGTACCCTTATATGGGGGCTATTCGAAAATATGGACCCATATTTATAATGTTCAGTGGAGAGATTTGCTACCCAATAAGAACTCAATATACCAAATTTCAGCGAATTCAGATGAAAAACGCGCTCAAGAACCTCAAAATACCGAAAACCCTTATATGGGAGCTATGCCTAAACGTGGACCGATTTGGCGATCTATTTCAATTCGCTTAGACGCTAGAGTGATTACAACAGACAGACGGACATAGAATTTTACGCTGGTCAAGAATATATATATATATACTTTATAGGGTCGGAAATGATTATTTCGATGAGTTACAAACGGAAAAACAAAATTAATATACCCTCCATACTATGGTGGAGGGTATAAAAAGGTCTAGTACCTATTAGAGCTGGGTAAATTAAATCAATTACTTCTGCAATATAGACCACCAATTTAACCGACCAAGTCATTGACTTAAACAACAGGCGTGAATGGGACGTGTCTAAATTGTCTAAACGACAACCTGACCAACAAGCTTTGATAAGGCGCCTACATTCAAGCGACAGAAGAAGTTCATGCAAAGACTATAAAAATAGGTTGGAAAAATCAACCAGATGGACATTTGAAGCATGATGTTTCCAAATGACAACGATTATAAAACATTGAAAAAAAAAACTGAGCATGACGCATGCTATTTTATTTAATTCAGGCTATATCTATGCCTTGGAGAATAAAATTATTCTCAGAATTTATTTAGAAAAGTGCCAGGGGGAAAAGGCATATAAGATCCATAATTGGACTTGACTTATGTATTATGCCAACAGACTACATATTCGTTTTCGACCAAGATTTTTTAAAATATTACAAAGTAAAAATATTGTATTAAATCAAACACTTCATTCGATTTATATGAGATTAAAAATGTTCAAAATTATTACCATTTAGGTAACAGAAGAACCAATAGGTTCTATCTTCAGGATTGACCTTTAAACCGACTCCAATAACACATTGTATGATCTGAATTACCAACCTTTTTTTGGATTTTTTACAACTTTATACATTTTTTTTATAAAACTCGATCCTCAAAGAAGAATGTTATCCTATAAAGATGTATCTTATTATACTAAAGACCCGATTTCTATAGAAAAATGCACGTTTATTATTTGTAATCATCATTCTTGTAATTTTAAAATATCCACGTCCTGTACTATACCTCTTTTAAAAATATTTATTTTTAAAAATCCACACCAGGTAATGTTAATGGACATTTTTAAAATATATTATGCCAACAGACTACATATTCGTTCTCGACCAAGATTTTTTAAAATATTACGAAGTAAAAATATTGTATTAAATCAAACACTTCATTCGATTTATATGAGATTTAGAACTTTCAAAAATCTACTCCCGGAAATATCATTTTTAAAATATGTATTTAAAAGTCCACGCCCTGTAATACACCTTTTAAAATTATTTTTAAAAAATCCACGCGCTTTAATATACACACGAAAAATATTTGTTTTATTATCAACGTCGTGTAACTTTTAAAAATATTTTTTATCCACTCTCGTAAATATACCTTTTAAAAATATTTTTTTTTAATAACCCACGCCCAGTAATAAACCCTGAAAACACTTAACAGTTTTTCAAAACCCACGCCCTGTAATAGGCCTTTTAAAAATACGGATTGTAATGAAAGTATTTTTTTTAATCCATGCCTTGTAAAGGTCCATTTAAATATATATTTTTTAAATTAAACCTTTTTTCTTATGAAAAGTATATATAACTTTATTTATAAAGATTTTTAATTAATTAATTGTTTTCTACTTTTCATTATCTTTACAGAAGCGTACCATTTGCATTGCCCCTTGGCTAATAAATACCGTTATATCGATAGTGGTTGAAATAACCACTTACATATTAATGGAAATTAAATTCAATGAAGTTGATGCGGCCACAGATAAACGTATTGTTCGTAGCATAATATTTGGTATATTTATAAGTAAGTACAAAAACAACAAAAATCAAAAGAATTCTAAAACTCTAAACTCCCTTCTATTGCAGTGTTCAATGTCCTGTTTACATTTGCCATTTATTGGCTGTGTAAATTCTTAAAGATACAACAACAAGAGAATCAAGTTTTGCAAGAAAGTATTGTGGATGCCACTGGAATGTTTCAACATGTTAAAGTTTAAATTTTAATACTAATAATAATATTATATGATTTTCAAAAAATAATTGTAATTCTATGAAAATTGATAAAGAATTGAGTTTTTAAATAATTTAAGTATTCTATCACTATTTTTATTTTCATATATAAAAAATTCACATCGGCCACTTACCTCAAAAATAACAACAAAACACAAACGACAGGCTAATATAATATAGAATGTATTATTTAATTGATATCTTTTCTCTGAGGTAGGTGGTTCACGAAAATCTGCATATCTGTATTTCAAAATAAAACAAAAAAAGAAAATTTGAAAAATAAATTAATAAAAATATTATATTATCTTATAAAAAATAGGGAATAGAAGAGGACAAATATGCCAAACCACAACAATATCTTGGCGTCGTTTCCACGACAGAGGGGTGTACGATCCGAAACGACCCGAGTCTTACTCGGCCAACATTGTTTAAAAGCCGTAGGGCTGCTACAACAACGCTTGGCGTATTTGTCTTCCAATATCTTCAAAACATATGTCATTTATTCACACTTACAGGCATGTAGTTAAATTATCATATTTTGCCGACAAACTTCGTGTCTGATTATATTCACTGGTATTAAATTGTGATAGTGTAAAGTCTAAGTAACCTTCTAAGGAACCATTTGGTGAAAAGTGACGATAAACCCATTGCGGTATTAACTCTGAGGTGAAAGCTATTATGAAGCCCTAAAAAGGAGAGTGGGAAATTAGTATTAGAAATCATTTTTAAATGTTGTGTTTGTGTGTGAGTAACTTACATTTGTAATAACACTTAATTTTCCGATACAATCCAAAATACGATACCATACTCCAATATCGCGTACTCTTTGCGATACTGGTCGTCGATGATGTGTTAAAAGTTTTTTGGCATCCAAACGCATTTCCAAAATATTATTTAGCAAAGCGAAAAATGGTGCCAATGGGAAAGCTGCCACAAATATTGTTACAAATCCATATTGTAAAACTGAAATGAAATTAAAGATATTATATATAGAAACGAAATATATCAATAATATTAAAAATAATATTAAATAATATTAATAATATTAAATAATATTAAAACTAAAAGCACATGTGGTCAGAAGGCTTGTTGAAAATCCTTGAAGCACAAACAATAAGCATTACCTTTATATGGGTCTGTCGGATGGACTAGTATTCATAATTTTGGTAGAGGGATTAACCACCAAATCAGAACCAAATCAATTCGGTTGGAAAAAAGTGGTCAAACTACAAAAATCTGAAAATAACTTTATAGGAGAGCTATATATTTAAACGTTGTCAAGTTCTCTATATAGGTCCCTAACCCCTAGTTCGACTACGAAAACTATGTTTTAAAATTCGTTTATAAAGGATCCCTGCTTCATCTTGGCTATAAAGGTTCCCTGTTTAACCTCCCTCTTAAAACATCTCTGTTTTCTAGTACCCCTTTAAAATATCACTGTGCTCAATCGCAACTGCCAACTGTCAGCGTCTCGTCTACTCCCTTAAGCTCGTCTATAAAGACGCCCTTCAGCTCGTCTATAAAGACTCCCTTCAGTTCGTCGATAAAGACTCCGTTCAGCTCATCTAAAAAGACTCGCTTCAGCTCGTCTAAAAAGACTCCCTTCAGCTCGTCTAAAAAGACTCCCTTCAGCTCGTCTAAAAAGACTCCCTTTAGCTCGTCTTAAAAGACTCCCTTTAGCTCGTCTTAAAAGACTCCCTTTAGCTCGTCTTAAAAGACTCCCTTTAGCTCGTCTTAAAAGACTCCCTTTAGCTCGTCTTAAAAGACTCTCTTCAGCTCGTCTATAAAGACCTTCTTCATTTGTTATCTATAACTCCTTCCTCAACTTACCCATTTCCAAATATTCCGGAAACAAACTTCGTGTACCCCAATCCAATAGCTTCAAATCTCGAACCCATCTTTCGGTATCCTTTTGTTTGTCATGTTCTTTGGGTGCAAACAGTTTGGAGAGACCCACACGTATGGCACCAATTTTACGCCAAATCATTGGCATTATAACTTCCAATATGGAATTGAAAGCTTGTTTTCCTATCATTATAATGGCCAATTGGATACATAATTCTGTCAAACAGCCACCGGAAGAGCACTTTAAAAAATGAAATTTTGATTATAATCTTATTTGGATTTTAAAAATGAATTTACCAACCTCTTCCTGTCTAAAATCAAACCACAATGTATAGTCACCAGGACGTCCAACAAATTTCCCCTTATAAAAAGCAACATAAAATATGGAAGCATAGTAATTCACAAATTGCAGAAGATACATCTTCAATGTCAAGGAGTCATCAAATTGGGTTTGGGTACGCCACATTTCCAATTCGGTGAGATATTCTGCTAAGCGATTATAAACCTGAAAATAAATATTAAACAATTAATTTGTTCCTTCTATGTTAGAAAGGGATAGATGGTATTTTATCATTTTGTCTAATACATTGTTGCTGAGGGTTTTGGTAAATCTCTTCCTTTGGGGATCTCTCCTCCCATTCTACTTACATAATTAAGTACATAGAGCATACATAAATTCAAAAACGCCGCCGATGAGGTAGACAACACAATGGCACTTGATGTATTCATGGGATTACTTTTGCGCAACATTAACGAGGCCATGGTGGCCATACGATAAACCACTACAGCCAATACGGCAACCAGCGTCAGTGCTACCAAAAGTAAAACCATGGAAAAACTAAAAACGGCTGCGGGTAATTTCATACGCCAAAAGGGCACCGTTGGTTCTCGCATATTTGTCACATAATCGGTACGTGTATGGGGTAAATGTTGTAATTTGGCCAAATATTGAGGTCGCGGATGTTCCTCATGAACATCGAAACCCGTCAAATCCCAACGATGTGTAATTTCGGCTGAATAACGTTTCCATAATTCCAAAAATAGAGTTGCCCAAAAGGACATAAATACGGCAAAGAATACCGTACTGGGATTATCGATTAAATAGGAAATTTTGGCATAAAAACAAGTCTCTTTGAGGTCCCAAAAATCACACCATTCGCAGAGGGGACACATGGTAATGTTACGCTTGCCACCGCATATTTCTTTCCTAAAAACAGAAAACAAATGAGGTTAATATTTAGTAAAGGACTTCATTTTAAAATAAAATACTTACACAGGTTCAAAATTTTTGAGCGTTGACCATGAGTATATAAAACAAAATACACCAACCACGGATGCCAATAACAACATATATGTATAGAATCCCAACCAGGCAAAATATAACCCAATTTTAACACCAAAATATTCTTTGATATAATCCAAGGGTTGATAACGATACCATTTTCGCACGGAAGCCCAATGGGTATATAGCGTGTGACGCATTGTATTCTTTTCATTTACTTCGCCATAAGGGAGAAACAAAGACTTTTAGAGATTTGATGTGAAAATTAGTTTTGGGTTTCCAACTTACATCATGCAATGGATAGGCAGCACAATATATATTTGAGGCCACCATTCTTTCAATGCCAAAGGCCATTTCATCTTTACTCTTTGGTGTGAAACGCTGACGATCCAATATGAACTGTACAATGCGTGATCGAACGGCGGGTGTAAAGAAGTTATCCTGTCGTATATCGAATCTGGAAATAAAAAAAATTGAAAAAATAGGAAAATTATTCAGCATTCAATAATATAGACGAAATGAAGTACTGTGATAATTTAAAGACGAACTGAAGGGAGTCTCTATAGACGAGCTGATAGGGAGTCTCTATAGACGAGCTGATAGGGAGTCTTTATAGACGAGCTGATAAGGAGTCTTTATAGACGAGCTGAAGGGAGGAGTCTCTATGGACGAGCTGAAGGGAGGAGTCTCTATAGACGAGCTGAAAGGAGTCTCTATAGACGAGCTGAAGGGAGGAGTCTCTATGGACGAACTGAAGGGAGGAGTCTCTATAGACGAGCTAAAGGGAGTCTTTATAGACGAGCTGAAGGGAGTCTTTATAGACGAGCTGAAGGGAGTCTTTATAGACGAGCTGAAGGGAGTCTTTATAGACGAGCTGAAGGGAGTCGTTATAGACGAGCTGAAGGGAGTCTTTATAGACGAGCTGAAGGGAGTCTTTATAGACGAGCTGAAGGGAATCTTTATAGACGAGCTGAAGGGAGTCTTTATAGACGAGCTGAAGGGAGTCTTTATAGACGAGCTGAAGGGAGTCTTTATAGACGAGCTGAAGGGAGTCTTTATAGACGAGCTGAAGGGAGTCTTTATAGACGAGATGAAGGGAGTCTTTATAGACGAGCTGATAGGGAGTATTTATAGACGAGCTGATAGGGAGTCTCTGTAGACAACTTAAATTTAGTCTTCCTCATGAATGCGATCCTGACCATTTCTTTTCAACGATGGATAGTTCCCCATTATTTGGTCTTCTTCAAACCAATAACATGACCTGCCTCGGTAGGAAACATTAATATAATTATCCAATTAAAAACATTTATACTCACAGATATTCTTTATCCCGGCTATAGATGGCAGTAAAACGTTGTGCGCGTCGAGGAAAATTTCGTTCATCGACATAGATATGCTTCATGAAGAATTTTATAATACCTTTTAGACTAGAAAATACACTGCTTGTTGAGCGATTCACCACGGACATACCAGGAATCTAAAGGGAATGGAAAATTTGAAAGAAAACAAAAATGAAGTTAGTAAAAGCGAAGAACATTTTGTTATAAGCATTGAACTTTAAACCAGTAAAAAACATGCACAAGAATAATAAAAAAAGCTAATTAACAAGAAATTTTAATAGATGATCAAACAAGATCAGCATATATAACTCTATCATGTAGGGGTCAGCAAGGAGTTTGTTCAATATTGTTCGATTCTTGACACCAAATTAAAAGTAATGCGCTGTACTTGTTTTGATCTTCAACGCTAATGCAAGTTGACATACAAGATTCCATGAAGGCAAGGCTTAATCTAAGAATGGACTCTTATTTTGAATGTGAAGCTTGAACCTTATTTTAACACATAAAATAACCAAAGCATCGGCTTTTTATGAAGATACAGTTAAGGACAAAATGGGATCCAAAAATATATGTTAAGAAAATTTTGTTTCAAAATGATTTTTTTGCTTTATGCAATGGAACACAAATGATTTGCAAGTGAGCCAAACGTTTAAAGTTTCAAGAAGACAATGTACGTTGTGTTGGTCTGATGTGAAATGGGAAAACATTTCAAACCTTTTTTGAAATGTATTGGGCTGCATAACGCAGTCGACTGTATTTTGATAATAATTTCACGTTGCATTTTAACTAAAAAAATAAATAAAAAATAAAATAAAGAATAAAATAACAATAATAAATAATTATAAATTAAAGAGGGAAGGGAGAGAGGGGAAAACAATAATAAAAGAATTAAACAAAATTCAAAATTTATGATGGATAACAATACTAAACTGTAATACGAAGTTCTTACTGACTTGAAAAAATATAGTTTAAGAGGCTGATTGATTGAGGATATATCAATAAGACATATTGTAATCTACGTCGAGTTGAAAAACGGAAAAAGGTCCTTTTAAATGAGCTAAAGGAATGTCTCTATGGACGAAGTGAAGAGAGAGAGAGATGGAGTGAGTCTTTATAGAGAGACCTGAATGGTGTTTTTATAGACAAGACGAAGAGAGTTTTTATGAACGGGTTAAATGTAAAGTGATTCTTTATAGATGACCTAAAAGGAGTCTTTATAGACGAGCTGAATGGAGACTTTATAGACGAATTGAAGGGAGTCTTTATAGACGAGCTGATGGAGTCTTTATAGACGAGCTGATGGGAGTCTTTATAGACGAGCTGATGGAGTCTTTTTAGACGACCTAAAGTTAGTTTTTATATGCTACCTAAAGGGAGACTTTATAGAAGACCTGAATGGAGACTTTATAGATGAGCTGAAGCGATTCTATATAGACGAGCTGAAGGGAGTCTTTATAGATTACCTAAAGGGAGTATTTACAGACGAGCTGAAGGAGTCTTTATAGACGAATTGAAGGGAGTCTTTATAGACGAGCTGAAGGGAGTTTTTACAGACGAGCTGATGGAGTCTTTATAGACGATCTAAGGGCAGTATTTATAGACGACTTAAAGTTAGGCTTAATTCAACCTAGATGCAGTCTTTATATACTATCTAAAGGGAGTCTTTGTAGACGAGCTGAATGGAGTCTTTATAGATGACGTAAAGGGAGTCTTTACAGATGATCTAAGGGCAGTCTTTATAAACATCCTAAAGTTAGTCTTAATGCAACCTAGATGCAGTCTTTATATACTATCTAAAGGGAGTCTTTATAGACGGCATAAAGGGAGTCTTTGTAGACGACCTAAAGAGAGTCTTTAGACGACCTAGAGGGAATCTTTATATGCAAACTAAAGAGAGTATACACGGTCTAATAGTATACTTTATAGACAGGATAGGGGAGTCTTTATTTATGACTGCAACACTCTGAGACCGGTTAGGTCCGTTGTGGTCATCCACAAGAAGAGATACAGCGAAGAGAAGAGACCAAAGACAGATCTGTAGGCGAGAGAAGATTAGTAAATTAAAGGAGTGAAGAATGAATGAAGGTCGATGGCCCTATGAGTCAGAGAGAAAAAGTGTTACGTGCCAAGGCTGTATGCTCCTAACCACTTTATGTTTCTAATTATGCTGTAGATTAGAGCAGGTTCGGTTGTTGAGAAGAAGCTGAGACCCGGTAGAAAATGAGCACCCATTAGTCTGTGTCGCCTATAAGCCAGGGCTGGGTAATGACACAGAAGATGCTCAATTGTCTCCGTCTCCTCCTCGTCAACACATAGTCTACAGTAATCAGTTGCATCAAGATCCCATTTACTAATAAAAGCCCTGATGTTGCAGTGACCAGTGATGATTCCCGTCATCACTCTAATTTCAGCTTTGCTCAGGTTCAATAGTGAGTGCGTTCTTTTGGTAGACGGAGTCGGCCAAATTGATCTTGACACGTTGCACTTAGGTTCGTTGTGCCTTTGGCTGTTTCGCAGGCTGTTTCGTCAAAGAATGCCTCAAAATTCCTATAGGAAAAACATATGGGTGGTTTGATTGAGTCATCAGTCTTTATAGAGGATTATATACCAAATAAAGTATGTGTATATGAACTAAAGGAAGACTAAAGGGATTCTTTATAAATGGCCTAAAGAGTCTTTATAGATGAGCTGAAGGACATGGAGTCTATATAGAAGATTCTGAAGGGAATATTTATATGCGAGGGCTTCTTCTACCCTTATAGGCAAACTGAAGGCACTCTTTATAGATTAACTAAAGGGACTTTTTAAAACCGAGCTAACCATAAACACTTTAAATACAAGTCCTGAAGAAAGGTTAGCAGAATCAGATTTTTTTAGGAAGAACTGAAGGTCTGTTATGTTTAAAAGGAACTGAAGCACAGAGATTTTAAAAACGATGAATCCTAGAGCCTATAAAAAGTGTATATATAAAAGCAAATCGAAGGGATATACGAGCTAAATAATGGATTTGTAGAGGAGCTCATCTGAGCTTAAAGAGTCGAGAAGAAGTGTCAAGGGTTTTGTAAAGACGAGATTATAGACCAAACTTTTGGACGAGTTAAATGATTGTACAATTTTTATAGATGAACGGAAACGAATCATTGCAGATCTTACTATACGAACTGAAACCAATTTCTTTCTATGCGACCTGAATTGGATTTTTTAGGAACAGCTAAAGGGTTTTTATACACGATGAATCCTAGAGCTAATAAAGAGTGTATATGGTATTTATAGAGGAATATGGTATTTATAGAGGAGTTCAGCTGAGCCCAAGCTTTTATATAAACAATGAAACTTATCTATTTATTTTAAAATAAGTTGAGGAGGATTGTCAGTACACTTTATACACGAACTGAAAGACCAGGGTATCTTTAAAAGCGAACTGAAGGCTCATGGAGTCTTTATAGATGACTTAAAGGAAGTTTTGTATACACTCGAAGGTGTGTAAACGTTTTAGGTCTATTTACGACCACTCCCAATTATCTATTCAAGACCTCTGCTATAAAAATGGTATACCTATATTATATATGGAAGGTCCCTGCTATCTATATAAGGCGCATTTAATATGCATTATTTACCTACAGAGCACCACTGGTGTCTTAAAAAAATTCAAAACTTGTATATTCAAACGTATTCATATATCCTCTACAAACAAAAATATTAAAAAACAAAGGAAACAGGGGAAGGGAAATTTTCGAACACCCAGTTTAGTAAATAAGCATACATTCTGGATAGATACTTTAAAACATAAAGACACGCACATATATAGAACATATATGTATTTTATGAAAACACATCAAAAATATATTGTGCACGATCTCTTACCTCTTTCATGGGCATACGCAATTTAAGAATTTCCGCATAACGTCGCAATACCTCCAATGGAGCATGCACCTATTGCAAAACAAAAACAACAAGAATTTTTATTATTCCATTTTAATAAAATATTCTATTCCCACTTACCTTAACAAAATAAATTTGTTCCTTTTCCTTGCATGCCCGTTCAATTTCCAAACCCTCCGCTATGAGATTCATTTCAAAAATATGCCTCTTCTCTTCATGTTGATCCTCCACACTGGCCTGTTGATTGATTTTGTAGACCAGCACAAAATCAATCGATCGCACGCCATCGTCAAAAAATAACGACGGATTTTTTTCACATTTCATATAGAAATCATTTGGAGTATTTATATCTTCGTCGGTTGTCTCTTGGAAAGGAGCTAATGGAGTCATTGCCAACTCTTCGATGGCAGGAGATTTACGAGTGGGTGTATGGTGCGGATGATGATGATGCTGGTGATTGTAATTGTTGCTGAGGTAATTTTGGTGATTTGTATGATTACTGTTAGCACTAACAATACGGCCGGATTGTCGAGATTCTTCGTCTTGCAGTAACAGTGTCGATGTTGTGCTGTCTCTATGAAAACTGAAATGGCAACAAACAAAACACAAGAAAAATAAACGAAATTGTTTCAGTACAAAAATAAAGTAGACTGTTGTGTGTGCTAATTCATTAGCAAAATTGTGTGAAATTTCAGAATGAGTGGATTGTTGAAATCGAATGTCTAGTACTAAAATACTTTTTTTAAAGAGATAAATAGACCATTTTCGTAATACCTTATTTTGTAAAAAAAGGGAAAAATTAAGGGTTTACTACCTATATGGAGACTATATTAATATTTAATGTGTAAATTATATATCATAAAATAAGTAAAATTATTAATTGAATTTTTGATTATAATTACAGTCATAAAATGTTTGACTTATATCAGCACATACTTATGTCCAATGATGTTCTACTCATTATGAAAGGTATTAGTAATTGCCTTTGTAAGCTTAGCAACAACAACAATAACAAATCCAATCGAATAATGAAATACATAATGTTATGATACACTCGAGAAAAAAATTAGTTAAATCTTCGAAAGGTCATAGGGGCTTTAGGAATGAAATGATACGCCAGCGTCCCTTCAAAACGTATAGAAAAGGAGAATTTATGATACCACCCAAAGGACCTGGGAGTCTTTTTAGACGAGCTAAAGGGAGTCTTTATAGACGAGCTGAAGGGAGTCTTTATAGACGAGCTGAAGGGAGTCTTTATAGACGAGCTGAAGGGAGTCTTTATAGATGAGCTGAAGGGAGCTTTATAGACGAGCTGAAGGGAGTCTTTATAGACGAGCTGAAGGGAGTCTTTATAGACGAGCTGAAGGGAGTCTTTATAGACGAGCTGAAGGGAGTCTTTATAGACGAGCTGAAGGGAGTCTTTATAGACGAGCTGAAGGGAGTCTTTATAGACGAGCTGAAGGGAGTCTTTATAGACGAGCTGAAGGGAGTCTTTATAGACGAGCTGAAGGGAGTCTTTATAGACGAGCTGAAGGGAGTCTTTATAGACGAGCTGAAGGGAGTCTTTATAGACGAGCTGAAGGGAGTCTTTATAGACGAGCTGAAGGGAGTCTTTATAGACGAGCTGAAGGGAGTCTTTATAGACGAGCTGAAGGGAGTCTTTATAGACGAGCTGAAGGGAGTCTTTATAGACGAGCTGAAGGGAGTCTTTATAGACGAGCTGAAGGGAGTCTTTATAGACGAGCTGAAGGGAGTCTTTATAGACGAGCTGAAGGGAGTCTTTATAGACGAGCTGAAGGGAGTCTTTATAGACGAGCTGAAGGGAGTCTTTATAGACGAGCTGAAGGGAGTCTTTATAGACGAGCTGAAGGGAGTCTTTATAGACGAGCTGAAGGGAGTCTTTATAGACGAGCTGAAGGGAGTCTTTATAGACGAGCTGAAGGGAGTCTTTATAGACGAGCTGAAGGGAGTCTTTATAGACGAGCTGAAGGGAGTATTTATAGACGAGCTGAAGGGAGTATTTATAGACGAGCTGAAGGGAGTATTTATAGACGATCTGAAGGGAGTATTTATAGACGAGCTGAAGGGAGTCTTTATAGATGAGCTGAAGGCAGTCTTTATAGATGAGCTGAAGGCAGTCTTTTTAGACGAGCTGAATAGAGTCTTTATAGACGAGCTGAAGGGAGTCTTTATAGACGAGCTGAAGGTAGTCTTTATAGACGAGCTGAAGGTAGTCTTTATAGACGAGCTGAAGGGAGTCTTTATAGACGAGCTGAAAGGAGTCTTTATAGACGAGCTGAAGGGAGTCTTTATAGACGTGCCGAAGGGAGTCTTTATAGACGAGCTGAAGGGAGTCTTTATAGACGAGCTGAAGGGAGTCTTTATAGACGAGCTGAAGGGAGTCTTTATAGACGAGCTGAAGGGAGTCTTTATAGACGAGCTGAAGGGAGTCTTTATAGACGAGCTGAAGGGAGTCTTTATAGACGAGCTGAAGGGAGTCTTTATAGACGAGCTGAAGGGAGTCTTTATAGACGAGCTGAAGGAAGTCTTTATAGACGAGCTGAAGGGAGTCTTTATAGACGAGCTGAAGGGAGTCTTTATAGACGAGCTGAAGGGAGTCTTTATAGACGAGCTGAAGGGAGTCTTTATAGACGAGCTGAAGGGAGTCTTTATAGACGAGCTGAAGGGAGTCTTTATAGACGAGCTGAAGGGAGTCTTTATAGACGAGCTGAAGGGAGTCTTTATAGACGAGCTGAAGGGAGTCTTTATAGACGAGCTGAAGGGAGTATTTATAGACGAGCTGAAGGGAGTATTTATAGACGATCTGAAGGGAGTATTTTTAGACGAGCTGAAGGGAGTCTTTATAGATGAGCTGAAGGCAGTCTTTATAGATGAGCTGAAGGCAGTCTTTATAGACGAGCTGAAGGCAGTCTTTATAGACGAGCTGAAGGCAGTCTTTATAGACGAGCTGAATAGAGTCTTTATAGACGAGCTGAAGGGAGTCTTTATAGACGAGCTGAAGGGAGTCTTTATAGACGAGCTGAAGGGAGTCTTTATAGACGAGCTGAAGGGAGTCTTTATAGACGAGCTGAAGGAGTCTTTATAGACGAGCTGAAGGGAGTCTTTATAGACGAGCTGAAGGGAGTCTTTATAGACGAGCTGAAGGGAGTCTTTATAGACGAGCTGAAGGGAGTCTTTATAGACGAGCTGAAGGGAGTCTTTATAGACGAGCTGAAGGGAGTATTTATAGACGAGCTGAAGGGAGTCTTTATAGACGAGCTGAAGGGAGTCTTTATAGACGAGCTGAAGGGAGTATTTATAGACGAGCTGAAGGGAGTATTTATAGACGAGCTGAAGGGAGTATTTATAGACGAGCTGAAGGGAGTCTTTATAGACGAGCTGAAGGGAGTATTTATAGACGAGCTGAAGGGAGTCTTTATAGACGAGCTGAAGGGAGTATTTATAGACAAGATGAAGTCTTTATAGACGAGCTGAAGGCAGTCTTTATAGATGACTGAAGGCAGTCTTTATAGATGACTGAAGGCAGTCTTTATAGACGAGCTGAAGGCAGTCTTTACAGACGAGCTGAAGGCAGTCTTTATAGACGAGCTGAATAGAGTCTTTATAGACGAGCTGAAGGGAGTCTTTATAGACGAGCTGAAGGGAGTCTTTATAGACGAGCTGAAGGGAGTCTTTATAGACGAGCTGAAGGGAGTCTTTATAGACGAGCTGAAGGGAGTCTTTATAGACGAGCTGAAGGGATTCTTTATAGACGAGCTGTATGGAGTCTTTATAGACGAGCTGAAAGGAGTATTTATATACGAGCTGAAAGGAGTATTTATAGACGAGTTGAAGGGAGTATTTATAGACGAGCTGAAGGGAGTATTTATAGACGAGCTGAAGGGAGTCTTTATAGATGAGCTG